ACCAGCTTCGGTACCAGGTGAAATGCAACCTGTCTTTCTCTGATTGAGGAAGCCCTGCTGGGATAAATGCCTCAACCCATCTCTTGTCCAAAACAGGAGATGAAAAGTGGGTTAGATCCTGCTGCCGGCAGTGCTGCATTTGGGGAGGGCTCTGCTAGGAGCTGACAAATGACTGGAGTGACGAGAAAAAATAAATTTTGCTTCTCACAACAGAGTTCACTGACATCAGTCTCTCTGTGCGGAGGAAGGGGCGGGCAGCCGGGAGGGGTGGCAGGCAGCGGGAGTCGGTACACGCAGAGCCTCACGGCCAGCCCTGATCTTGCCGAACTCCGCTCCAAAGTCACCCTTGTTCGCATTTGTGTCCTTGTGTCACCTTTTCCTCGGGTGCACTGCTGGCATCTTTTTCCCCCGAGATGGTGATTTTTTCTCCTCTTCCATCCTTAACAACAAATACAAGGTACAGAAGGAAAGGTGAATCAAGTTGACTTCAAATGCCAAATGGGAAAGCTTAAAGGTTTTTAAAACTGTTTGTTTTATGTAAGTACTTATTGGAAACTGGCACAAACAAGTCACTATCTGCTCTGAGATACCAGAGCAGATGTGACAGAGTGGAAAAGCCTCTTCCCTGCCAAAGTATTTGCTGGAGATTCGATAACAAGGTGCTATTGTACAACAGCGGGTAAAGGTTCAGAACAGAAAGGGGAAAGGGAGAAGGCACCCAGGCGGTGCAGGGCTCTGCCTTCACAGGCCACAGCTCCTCCACTGAAACTCATGCCCGCAGAGAGCGGGGTTAGGTTCAGCGGGAAGGCAGCTTGCTCTTCCGTGCTGCTTTCCTTACCCGCAAATAGTCACAGCCCACCTCGTCCCTTCGTTTCTGTTACAGGCCTGTAAGCTCCTTCAGGCTTTTCTGTGCACTTCTGGGGAGAGCATTGCATTCAGCACTCCAAATGCACATTTATAATCTGAAGCAACAGGTGAAACTTAAGTGCAAGAGCTCCGATTTCTAATATTTGTACTGACAGACTTTCAAGGATTCCTGTGAGTTTCATTCACCCCCATCACATTTCCTGCTAGACACCAATACTCTGCGTTTGTAAATACTAACACTGTTTAGCAAACACAGCTGAGTTGGAATGGCAGATATCCAATACAACTTCAAACTGCATGGTTTCACTACAAATCCTAAAGACACAAAGCAGCCTGGGCCCCACCCTTGAAAGATGCTCCCTTGAAAGATTTGTTTGGATTCTGAAATGAGAAGCAGCTGGTTTGCTGTAGCAAAGGGAGGATGGGGAAGTTTGGGCTGCATTCTCTTGTTCTCAAAACTCACCTGCTTTTTGTCCCCTACCAAAGAAAACTCACCAAAAATTATTCAATAGACACAGCAAACACACCAAGGCAATAACTGCATCTTTAGCCTGACATGGTAACAACTCTCCCGCACAATCCCCCTAAGTAGTCTTCAAATTCAAAACAGTCTCAGTAAAAATCAATCCCAAATTGCTTGAGGATGTATCTGAAGTCATGCTATCTTAAAAAACAAACAAACTTAAACAGCAATTTATCTTAATAGCCTTTACTAAGCACACATGAGTAGACAGGTTTGATCAGATAACAGAAATGCTTTAACCACCCCAATGACATCTTGGTTCCTTTCTCCACTCCAGGTTACTATCAATCGTTATTTCACGTCAAGGTTTAAAAAGATACCTGGCACCTTGAAGCTCCCTTTAATTGTCCATACGGTTTTATTTTGCAGTGTCTTCGGCCTCGCCTCCCCAGAAGCCTCCTCAGTGGCGACCGTGGGCCATGGGTGCACGTAGCGGCTTTCATTTATGGCAGCCAGCCTGTAACCCATTGCCTGAGTCAGCACAGCGAGCGAGCTGCTTTCCTCCTCTCCCCTTTCCCCTCCCTCTGCCCTTTTCAAACACTGTTGCTTTTAGCTCATTTATCTGCCTATTGGGGCGATATGTAATCAGAGCAGGAGTCCTGATGGGAAATACAAAGTGATTCTTTAGAGTGGTTGGCTTTGAAAACTGTTCTGGGCGCTGATCAAGCGAGTGTTACAGCTGCCCCTTTCGTTTGCTTCGCCTTCTGCCCTGAGTCTGTCAGCACCAGACAAACTGGAAGAGCCTCCGGGATGTTCACAGGCCCATCTTGCCTGAGTAAAATCTGATATTATTTATGTCAGCACGTGACACTCCTTTGATGTGAAGGTAAGGACAGACCGACTTATCCACCCCACTACCCAGGGGACTCTGGTCCAGTCTTTCCATAGCGCAACAGAGACCAAAAATCCCCATCTGTTGACTTTGAAAAAGCGGTACCTTCACCACAGTTAGAGCCACCACTCTAAGCCGAAACAACGAATGCTTTCACTCATGTATCCATGGCGTCAACACTGCCAAAAGACTGGAAAAAAGTTCACTCCTTCCTTAGGAAAAGTGGAGCCACTCCCTAAGCCCTAACTAATTACACTGCACAATAATGCTGAAACCAAGCTTATCATCCATCTGTGCTCCCCAACGGACTTCACCTGCCACGGCCAGAGAGCAATCTCTTGGAACAACCTAAACAAGGGAAGAGAAAAGGTCCTGCTATAAATCTTCCCACAAAATTCTCATTCAATTAAATGGTTTTCCTTATCTGGTTATATGTCCTCCTAGGTAATGTAACCAATCTAATGCTGTTATTAATCTTCTTCCTTTACAATAAGGTGAACAAAATTACTAATTTATTCCTGAGTGTGGATTCTGCAAAGACTTTTTTCCATATGGAGGAGGCCAAGTAACTGGGTAACATGCAGATCTCCTGACATGAAGGTGGATGAAACGCTGCAGAATTCGAGTCTACCCACAAAAACCAGCTGGTGGAAGTGCAAATACAAACCATAAAGAGGGAGGGATGAAAGCAAGCAGAGGGCTGACGCAGGAATACCTACAGCAGAGCAGGCAACTGGAAACAGACCCCGGCACAGAGACAAAAAAGGAACCCAGCACAAAAGCCACTCTGCCTTGCAGACTGAAGCGAGCCTATCGGCATCTGTTCCAAATCAGGACAGCATTAACTGGGTCAGCCCAGCAGAAGCCAATGTCAGCGTCTTCCAAGATACATCATTTTTGTGGTTAGTTTCAGAAATAAGTTTGCTTTTAAAAGAAAAAAGAAAAAACCCAACCCTTCATTCTGGGTAACAGGGTAGAAACTGATAGCATGAAGGAGGCACAGCGAGGCAACGGGTGTCTCGCACCTACCAGCGGCAGGGTAATGGCATCAGCACGCTGAGAGCCCACACACATACACGTCCTCAGC